AGCCCCCCTGCTCCCCAGCTGGGCATCTGATACCCCAAGCCCCCCTCTGTCCATTGTCTTCTCTCCAGGGAAACAGGGTCGCCTGGGCCTCCTCTCCCCTTTTCTGTCCTCTGGCTGGAACCGGCTGGTCCAGTCACCGGGGTCCTCTCCCCACAGCCCATTGTCCCCCCACTGGCCAGAACCGGCTGCGACTCCTCAGCTGGGTCTTCGGGTCACCCGGTCACCAGTCACTGGGGTCTCCATTCTCCAGGCCGTTGGCCGGGGTCCCAAGTTCCCTCGCTGGTCCTGTGTCCCAACGAACTCCCTCTCCCCTCCCATCGTTAAACCAGGGACACTGAGTCCCACCCCCTCGGCGTGCAAACCATTGGAAAAACAAGGAAAAAACAAGACAATCCCCCACTTTCACATACCCCCAAACTCACCCCTTGTGCCAGTGAGCAGCGGGAAAGCCAGGAGCGGTCGGTGCCTGGTAGAGCGCCCAGAGCCCATGGTGCCCCTGTGGTGGGCTGTACCATAGCTTGGGTCCCCGGGCTCTCTCCTTTCCCCCAGGGATCCTGGGTGAGCCCCTCCTGCCCCATGGGGGCACTAATGGTGCCCCTTTGCCCCAGGAGTGCCAGGCTCTGGACGCAGAGAAGGCCCAGCTGCGGGAGGAGCTGAAGCAGCACAAGAGCCGGGAGCTGCGGCAGCTGCAGGACTGCGCCGAGCTGGAGGAGGAGAACATCTCCCTGCAGAAGCAGGTGTCCGTGCTTAAGGGCAACCAGGTACCTCGCCCCCAGCCCCTCATGCTGCGGGGACCTGTGAGCTGCCTCTCGGGGTGGCGGGAAGATCTCCTGGGGTCCCTGTGCTGGAGGGGCTGATTGTGCCTCACTTGGGACAAGGAGTGGCCCACGGGACAAGAGGGCGAGGAAACCGCTTGTGTGGCCAGTGCTGACTCTTGCTCCCCCTCCTCAACCCTCTGAGGGTGTCTGGGGGGAGAACCCAGGAGTCCTGGCCCCCAGCCCCCCCGCTCTACCCCACTAGCCCCCACTCCGTTCCCAGAGCCAGGGAGAGAACCCAGGAGTCCTGGCCCCCAGCCCACCTGCTCTGACCCACCAGCCCCCGCTCCCCTCCCAGAGCCGGGGAGAGAACCCAGGAATCCTGGCTCCCAGCCCCCC